ATCTGAATGCTCATTACCGTGTTCACAAGATCCCGTCATTAAATCTTATAATGAGTTATATAAATCCAGTCCATTTTAATATTATCCTCCCATTTTCGCCCAGTTTTCTCAAATGGTTTCTTTACTTCAGGTTCTCCGAATAAAACTTCGTGTACATTTCTCATCTGTCCATGCGTGCTATATATCCTTCCTATCTTAACCTTTATTTGACCATATTAATAATATTTTATGATATAGATTATTAAATTTTTCAATGTAAAGTTTTCTCTGGCCTATTACTACTTTCCTCTAAGTTTAAAATATTCTCCTTGGCGTCATCTCAAAAATCGTCAAACAGATGTTCTCCTTTCAGGTTCTACACTCATACAATAATGGCCCAACAAGTACATGTCCTGGCCACCCCTTTGTTCTCGATGAGGTGAAAAGTAAAAATTATAATTATTGTGCAGTTACACTTCAAATACTATGACACATTCATACTTATATTCAATACCGATTTATGAAAGCACAAAGTTGATCAAAGAGCTATTGCTGCCGACGTTTCCACGGAATTATGCAGGGACAGAGCGTTTGTGTTTGCCGTGTAAGCCCGGCCAACACTTTGCGACACGAAAACTAAGAAGCTTTAATTTCGTAGTTCAGCGCCGGACCCAAAGATAGCTCTATCTATTGGGCCCAACGGAGTAGGTACCTGAAGACGGAGATAGAGCCCCATCTCCGAAACGTCGTTTATATTTTATTATTTTACTATACGATATAAAATATCCAAAGAACCTTTTATTTGATACGTAGTTTGTTCTTTTACCATCGTCTCGCTTTTCGATAAAAGCAAAACGTTTCGTAAGCTAGTATCTGCTTCCGTCATCAAGTAGAAAAATGAAAGCTACAATGTTGGGCCCATAAGTTGCAGCCGATCTCAGTTTTTGGAGTGGACGTCCTCAGAATGCCTGCATCTTCTCATTACTTGTGGTACCAGCATCCCTTGTGGATGATGACTAAGCAGATTCAGGTGACTCATCTCAACAATGACCAGCCTCAGGTGTATATTCAAGAGACTAGGCTTCTAATACAGTATCCAACGAAGGGGTGAGCACCCCTGTTGCAAATTATTACCGTCACATAATGATGGCTTCACAGTGGGAGGGAAGCCTGAGAAACATTCAATCACCCCTTCACTTAGTTTTGTTGTAACTTATTCGACAACACGACCACCTCCTGTTATGGAAACAGAGAAAGCTGTTGCTGCAAATGATCAAACAGCGCGTTTTATGGTTCGATCCCTGGCTCATGTAAGTCATGTCCCGCACCTCTAATTACTATAAAGCGTAGATATAATAATTCAGAACAATGCCTTCATACGTAATGTGCAAACTGCAAGGTACTGAAAATTTGGGTGAGATTTGGCGCTTTCACAGAGCTGAAAATCTTTGGATTTTGATCTTCCGAGTTCTGACACTGTGTAGTCTTGTATGTGGTGATGAACGTTTCTGAGGAACGTGTTGTCTCTGTCGTGAAGGTAAAAGATGAAGGCGATAAGTGTCTCTGGAATATTGGTAACAACTTAGAGCGCGGCGTCATCGCACAGAAGACAAATGAACTACGTACTCAAACTTGCGACGACCTGTTAACGTTTATTTATTACTAATTTAGTTACCTGAAACTCAAAGAGAGAAATGTGTAGTTGTGTAAATACACATAGGCCGTAAATATTCCGTATACATACCGTAAATAAATAAGGAAAGTAAACTAGATACATGAAGCAGGAGGTCAAGAACTTTCCCTCATTCTGTGGAACCTGAAGATTCCATGTCATGTTCACGAGCCACTGGGATCAATCTTAAGACATATTAAAACTGTCGACTCCGCCATAATCTATTTCTTTAAAGTCCGCTTTAATATCTGTTCAAAGGTTATTTATCTTTAATTTTTCTGTAAAACGTTTATCTTCTCCATCGGCCATACAGCGTCGAAAGTTAGGATGACTCAATGACGAAAAAGAAATCTGAAAACGCTATTGTAATTTATTAAAATAATGACGTATAGTAGATTAAAAATTCTTAACAGTGGTGCTGCCTAACTACCAAAATTGAAAACCAGTGCACTACAGATATGCTCCATTTTACTTTAATCTGTGATAAACAGGTTTAAATTTTAAGTCTCGTTTATTTCGTCACAATATTTTCTGTCATGATTTGTCCGAGGGAAGCACCTTTAATTATTTATTTATTTATTTCGCGTGCATAGACTTCCCCACCGTCTCCTAACTTACTCATTTCCAAACTCTGTGGAACAGAGTCCTTCTTGGGAACCTAATGGTATCTCAGCTAGTGAAGAAATTAATCTCCTTCAATGGAACCCGAATTTTTATTACCTTGCTCAAAAGAACTGATATTTTGTAGTAGTTTTGCTTTCTCATTCATACTTTTATGTACCACAATTTTATACCTCATTTTTATATCTAATTGCTGTGTTGACTGTATCTTATTCAGTTTATTACTTACTCCTAATATTGTTACTGTCATTACTTTTTATGTTCGAATTTTGCTACTCTCCCAGATTCCGTACAAAAATTGTATTCACGAAGTAATTAGGAACACACAGACTTTGTGTAATGCTTCCTGTAATTCAGTTTAGCCTCCCATCTAAAAACAGAAATTAAAATGTATAAAATTAGTTGCAATTTTGTAAATGTGTAAAACTTGGTCTCACCCGTTGCATGAAGAATGTGGACTGAGGACATTTGAGACAATAGTTGAGAAGAATATATAGACCTAAGAGGAAGGAAACAACAGAATTGTGAAGACGAGGCTACATTATGAGGAGCTTAATAATTCTATTCTTTGGCCAAATATCAGGTGCGATCGGAAAGTTTCTAGACTGCACGTATAAAAACCCGTACACTTATCTCAGGTATTAAATTCATCCATCACCCTCGAAGTAGTTCCCCTGGGAGTGAACACAACGATCCCAGCGCCGCTGCCAAGCCTGGAAGCATCACTGGAAATCTTTCTTTGTCAGCCTGCCAAGCACCATCTGCGATTCTGCCTGAATCTCTCCTATCGTCTCAAATCTCCTTCCCTTTAGCTGAATTTTCGAAGATCGACGTCGTACCATCAACGACTTGTGCGACATTTTTGGGATAGGCTATGGGACCTGTCAGCTGATTCTAAAGGAAGAACTCCACATGCGACGCAAGGCTCCTGTCTGAGGACCAGAAGCAGAATCGACTTCTCGTTTGTCAGGAGCTCCAAGATCTTGCAAGAACCGACCCCAACTTCCTTTTTAAGCTCCGTGTGACTTCTTCCTCTTTCCAAAGATGAAAATTCAGCTAAAGGGAAGGAGATTTGAGACGATAGAAGAGATTCAGGCAGAATCGCAGATGGTGCTTGACAGGCTGACAAAGAAAGATTTCCAGGGATGCTTCCAGGATTGGCAGCGGCGCTGGGATCGTTGTGTTCACTTCCAGGGGAACTACTTCGAGGGTGATGGATGAATTTAATACCTGAGATAAGTGTACGAGTTTTTATAGGCGCAGTCTGGAAAATTTCCGATCGCACCTCGTAACGTATTATTAGGGCGATCAAATCAAGGAGGATAAGATTCTCGGGCCATTTAATACGCAACGGAAACGTGTGGTGGCAGATTTGTAGTTCAAAAACCTAAAGAGAAGAGAACACATAGAAGGCTGGAACATACATTCACGGACATAATTAAGATAGATCTTAAGAAACAGCAGTCCGATGACGTTGACTTACCCAGATTTAGCTCAGAATAGGGTAAAGTGTCGTAGTGCTTTGAAGACGACTGTGAAACGTCGGCTCTCATCAAAGACACAGATTGTCTTAATCAGGCCTACCTGAGCGACTGTCAGCTATTTAGGGACTCTTTTCTACGTGTGCATGAGCGTATTTCGATTTTAATTTGTAACAAATTTATTAAAGCGCGGTTAGACAGCAAAGTTAAAAATGTCAACTCAATTTTCAGAAATGTCCTGTTTCCGACAGTGTTAATTTCCTAATGCTACGTTGGAGGCTGAGTTTGAAAGCTAAAATTAAGTTCTGACAGTGACGACTCTGGTAGCAAGATATGCAAACGATGCTATTGTGACGCCTGTGGTGAGGTCTTACGGAGTCTGCATTTGACGAGAGTCTGGAGTCAGCCAGTCTGTTTTGTCTTGGTGCGTTTGGCAGAAATCTGGCGACAGTCGCCATAAAAATGCTTTCAGATTTAATTTAGGTTATAAAGAAATTTTATGAATGTACTTTAAACACGATTTTCAAACATAATGCTGCAGTAAATTGTCTTACTGTTCAACAAGGCCGTGGTCTAGGCAACACGGAGTTTTCCTCCGGGGGCTTCCCCGGTTTCTCCGTGGCATCCCAACAATTACTCCATTCACACACAGAAGAAGGCAATGGCAAACCACGTCTGGATCATCTGCCAAGAACGTATATGAACAGGTCCCAGGCCGAGAAAAGGAGGGAAGGATCCTGTTCATACGTACCTGTCGTCAGACAGAACACTAAAAAAAAAAA